GTGATGAGCTGAATCCAGCATGGCTTGATCTCGAAGTTATTTGCAGGAATGGGCGGATAGAGGATGACCGGGCGGATATCAGCAATCCGTGGAGTATAGTAGTACTCCAGGGTGGGACCCGGTGGTGGTGGATGATGATGGTGCCCAGCTCCCTGGGGGTGTTGGTCGTTCCCCAGGATCTGGTTCTGAGGAGGTGGGTTCTGATCGCCTTCCATCTCGTACTCGTCCTCGGAGTCGCTGGTCAATTGGCCGTCTCGGCGCCCACCGTAGCCAGTCTAGCTCGCTGTTGTCTCCGAAGTTGTTTGTAGGTGCGCTCAATCTCAGGATTCAACGACAGTAAACCTCCCGACTGGCTACGGGTCATGCACTAGCTGCACACAATCAAGCAATGCAAACCCGTGAAGGCACAAGTGGGAAAAAACAAAAACTCAATGCAAAAATGAAAATGCTAAAGTAACAGAAATCACTTTTCTTCAACAACCTAGCCGTCCCCGGCAACGGTGCAAAAAACTTGACTCACTCCTACTGTCACTCTAGAAAATGGCCAAGTGTAACCACTTCCTAAAGCGTAGTATAGCGGGTTTGGGTTTTATTGTCAACCCGGGTCCTAGATGTGATGACTACTCAGTGAATTCGTATTATCTAGCAATGCAACTTTAGTGAAGATCTAAACTAACAAGCAAACAAAACAACTAAACGGTTGTATTCAGGTCAAGAGAGGTCACCCGGATATGGTTCCCCCTAGTCTGCAGTTAAGCCGGATTGTAATTGCCAAATTCGATTTCTACGATAGTTATACTGCGGAAGGTTCTCAAACAGTCTGAAGTCTCGACTAAAGGTCTTCAGACCCTCTCAATCTGAGTCTCTAGCTGGCGACTAACCTACACCGGAGTAAACAGATTGAGGCCCTATGAACAAAACCTCCACTACCGAATTGAATTCGGTACAGAATAGTGAATTGGCTCCTCGACTAAAGTCACCAATTCACTACCTTCGATTAAGGATACTCTATCAACCTAGGCAGATATTATCATTCTAGGTTAAAGCAGAAACAACAGGAATTTGATCAGGATTCAAGTCATTCAATCATTCAAACCTCAATCGAATATAATCAAATCATAGAATCAATACTTGGGTTCATACAATCAAACCTAACATACAGATCTAGGGTTTCCCACACCCAGATGAATGGGGGAACTACTCCATGGAGAGAGAAGCAAAAGCAGAATCAGACGCGGAAATCATACTGTGAAGATGGATTTCTGCTCCTGGACGTTGAATCGGCACTTCTCCAAGCTCAAACCAAGCTCCAATGGTGTTGAAGATCGATCTAGGGCACTTGGAGGCTCTTGTTCGTCGCTTTCTCTCTCTAGGAACCGCTCTGTCTCTCAAAAACTCGAATCCCCCTCTGTTTGGCTCGGAATCCGCTTAAAAACCAGAATTTCCCGACTCGCACGGCCAGGGTGCACGGCCGTGCATATCACCATTCTGGCCGTGCACCTCAAAACGCGGCGTACCATTAAGTCAAACTTCAGCCATCTCGCACGGCCAGGATTGCACTTTGCACGGCCGTGCGGATTTCACTTGTGCCCGTGCGTCCTCTCGCACAATCCCGCACGGCCAAACTGGTCACTTGCACGGCCGTGCGGGTTGTGGGTGTGCCCGTGCGCCTTCCTCAGAACCTCGCCATGCATCCGATCCTCGTCCAATCGACCTCAAACTCGTTCCCAAGCCTCCATTCACGTGCTAGGACCTGAAATATCATAAACAAGCACAACCTAGCGTGAAATCGGCCTAAAACACGAGAATCAATACCTCAAACGGAGTAAGAGCAGGGGTAAAAACATGTGTAACTAACGGTCTATCAGGATCTCATTTGTACCAGACATGTGTGGAAACCCGCCTGTCATTGAGACGAGGAGTGCAAGTTGGGAAGAGGTGCTCGGGCAATGAATTCGACCTTTATGTTCCCCACATGGGGCTGAGTTTGGGAAGGCAATGTCCTTTTGCTCTTCGCCACGAGGGAGAGATTCCTAAAATTGAGAAAATATTGTGCCATGTACAACAAAGTTTAAGTTGAGGCTCAAAAAAGTGAGCCTCTATTGAAAAAGTAGGAGCACCACCACAGAGTCTTTTGCTTGTATGTTAACACGAAGAGATGGAAATAAATATTACCCAAATTATATTGTGTTTGACGTTCCACTAATGATTTATAGTGCATTGGCACTACGATCGAAAGATTGAGTAGGTTTTCTTTCGGACAAAAGTGATCGAAAGTCCGGGAAATTGCAACAAACAAGTTTACCGTGAAGTGCAAGGATCACGATTTTGTCCATTCAGAAGTTCATGGAAGTTGCAACAAACAAGTTTACCTTTGCATTGACACCTGGATCGAAAGTCAGACAAAAGAGATAAAAAAAGGGATCAAAATGGACAAAATGCAAGGATCAAGGTTTTGGAGCAATTTTCATGGGTAGACCTCGCGATGTGGATTAGGAAACCGTTAAGTCTGAACACTTCCAGGAGCTTTCGTGTGGCGCACGTCTGTTGCAAGGATCACAATCTCAAATCGTGAAGTATGTTAAAGAAACAACGGGTTTTGAGTTGAGCTCACGATTTCATTGCATACTTCATGGGAGTAAAGAGCGACCATGATATGTGCACTCGCATGCTATATAAGGGAGAGTGGGTTGAATTTGAAAGGAGAGAATTCTAGAGAGAGATTGAGATTGTTCTTCAAGGTTAGAGAGAGAGAGAGAGATATGAACAAAGGAGAATTGGAGGTTAATTGGACCTACTCAAGACAATTGGAAGGAAGATTTCATATCCAAGCATCCACCCAAGCAGCTAGGAAAAAGAAGATTCACTTTTCCATGGGTTTTCTTTATTCTAGTTGTTGTTTCTTTTCTAGTTTATGGAGTAGTTCACTTATTCACTTGGATATTAAGAACCCTAGTCTAGGATGTGTTAGATTGTAAATTGTGAACTCTTGTACTAATGGATATTGTGTTTTATATATTTATTGACGAATTTTCATGCAAATTAAGTGTTCTTGATTAAATCCCAATTTTGGGACAATTGACCTAGGAGGGAGAAAATCCCATTAGAGCAACTCGGGTCATTTCTCAATCAACATAGTGTGCCATGAGTCATTGGGATTTATGACCCTTCGTTATTCTGGGGTAATTCTCGGGGGAGTGGAATCGATTACCTCAATCATCTTTTGCGGTTGTGTGGTATGCCCTCCGATTAGATCGATCAAGCGGGCTAGGATGCACTCGAATAGGGGGTCCTAGCTATTTAAGATCTCCTGATGGTATATGAATGTTTGCCTATCGCATTTGAACCTAAGATGGTAATACGTGGAATAACATCCGAGTAGCTTTTCTCTATTGAATTCAAACAACGAATTAAGTGCTTTAAATCAAGTAAATTTTGAATTAGTTATGTGCAATGCGTTTTTGTTTAGTATATTGCAAGTGACGATTGGCATTGTTTTTAGATTGATCAACTATTGATAATTATTAGAATAATTACGCTGCAAGTTAACTAAAATTTTGGGTACTGTTCATCAATAAAAAATCGGGATTACTGTTCACAGGGACCTTATGATCAGCGGCAGCCAGTTCTAACCTAAACCCATGAATATCACTTTGGGCGGGCTAAGCATTACCGTTGATCAATTAACTCTCTACCTAATATCAGCAGTTGGATCCTCTTAATTAATCCTCTCTTCTCTCGAGAAATTTTACAATGCTATATAGTATTGGTGCTATAGGTTTTTGCCTTTATGGTACAACTTAAAATTGTACATTTACGTTATGGTACAACTTCAGATTGTACCTATACTTTTTGTACAAATTCTTTTATGGTACAACTTGAACTTGTACCTTTATGTGATGGTACAACTTCAAGTTGTAAAGTTGTACCATAACATAAGGGTACAAATTGTTTTATGGTACAACCTAAACTTATACATTTAATGTTATGGTAAAACTTTAAGTTGTACAATAAAGCACCAATACTATATAGCATAGTAGAAGTGCTCCTCTTCTCTCTCCTTATCACTTTTTCATTTTTTTTTCATTCTCCGCAAAAACCCTTCTCCTCCCCTTATCTGCAATCACCTCTTCCTTCTCTCTCCTTATCTCTCTTTTCTATTTTTTCATTCTACGCAAAACCCCTTCTTCTCCCTTCCTGTACAATCAAATAAAGGAGAGCAGCGGTCGAACGTCATTTGATTCCCCTCTCTTTGATCCCTCCGAACCCACTGAACGCCACACCGGCGGGAGACGGTGGCGATGACAGAACTTCCATTTCCAAACCCACTGAACGGATGCCTGCGAAGGACACCCGATATTTCATCTCAAAGCTGTCGATAATCGATCTCGACGGTCGACTCAGGTTTTTCCCCTTTACTCTTACTACTCATGGGATTTTCCCCTTTCTCGACCAATTACAACTCAAGGCAGAGTGACGTAAAATGTTGATTCAGAGCGAGAAGTACAACCCGTAGTTGATATAGGTCGGGGTTCAAGAGGTTAGATTGCGAATTTGATTCCCTATTCTCCCCCTCAAGCTGGAGCATGAACATCATAAATGTCCAGGTTGAAAGGTGATGAATGATTTGTCTTTGCCCAATGATAAATACCGAGGGGTCGATCTTTTCTTGGATCGTTACCTCCCTTTGAACGTCGAGGGGACGATCTCTTATTGGATTGTACAAACCGTCTGAAAGCGCCAAGGGAACGACCTAATCGAGAGTGCCTCGTGAAGTTGAGGGGAGGATCTTTTCTTGGATCGCGATTGCCTTCTGAACTCCGATGGAACGATCACTTCTTGGATCGTGCTACCGTCTGAACGTCGAGGGAACGATCTGATCGTGATTGCCTCGTGAAACTGAGGGGCCGATATTTTCTTGAGTCATGTTTATCCTTTTGGATGTCGATGGGACGATCTCTTCTTGGATCATACAATCGTCTAATAACACTAAAGGAATGGCCTGATCAAGAATACCTCGCACAATATTGGACATACCATGCCACTAACTCAAAATGGAACAAAGAAGCAATTATCTATGTCTGGGCCTAGACTGAATAAGATGGCCTCCATTTTTGCAACCCAATTTGTTGGGTTTTGAAAATGGGCTGTGACCTAATGAAGAGGCCCAATATAAGGGGGAGTGAGATGGCCTTAGTGGCATCAGGAGGGTTTGGAACGAAAAACCCATTGTCCTCCCTTGAGTCCCTTCCTTTCCTCTGGCGCCGCAGCCTCCTTTTCTTTCTTTCTCCTTTTTTTCAATAATCTCTTCTCTTCGTACCCCAACCGATCAAAGCACCCAATAACGGAGCAAAGATCCGCGACGATGGTGATGACGAAGGGACGATGGCGAGACTGTGCAGCGACAGGAGGGAAGACTTGACGGCGGGAAGGAACGGCGACGACGGCCGTGACTGGGCGACATCGACGGTGATACGGAAATGAAGGCGGGGAAGACGAACGCCGCGGCTGACTCATGGCGACGACGGCGGTGATAACGACGAGCTGGGTGGATGATTCAAATTGACGGATCTATTACTTCCACCGCCTCCCTCTTATAAATCGCCTCTGCTCTTTTCCCGCGGGAGTTCTGGTTTGGGCGCCGGTGCCGCTTGATTTACGACGTCGGCTTGATTTGGAGCTTGCAGGAGGTCCGGTGGTGAGCGCCGTGGTGACACAACAGCCGACCAGAGAATGGTACTATGGCGCGGCAATGATGGCTGCACTTGATGGCGGTGGTAGCGGAGGCAGGGGTGGCCTGGCGATTGGTGGGTTACGGAATCCATTGACTGATCGACGGCGGTTGTACTGATGGCGGCGACTGGTGTGAGGATCCATGGCAATGGCTTGTTCCAGTGCTTCTGCCACTGCTGTAGAAGCTAGAATCCTCCTCTGGATTTGATTGCGGAAGCTTGAGATAATGGTGACGAGAATGGTGACTCGAATGATGGCGTTAGATTGGAGATGAGCAGCCTGGAGAATGCTCACTCATGACTGGAAGGTATAAAAAAAACTTTGTAGACTGAAAGTTGAAGAAAAGATACAGAATGTTTGGAAGGAAGGATTTAGGAACTCAACAGAATGGTTTCTTCCTTTTCTTCTTCTTAGGCTTTCCTATACTGGATTCAAAATCCAGCTCTGATACCATGATGAATTTGGTGAAACAATCTTTGAATGAATAAGATTTATTGATTGATTGCTTGATTGTTACATACCATGATGAATTTGGTGAAACAATCTTTGAATGAATAAGATTTATTGATTTTGCTTGATTGTTACAGTTGGTTTCTACTCTACTTATACAAGAAGAAAGACAATAAACAATTACAAGGACCATGCTGAAACATGGTGCTATAGGTTTTTGCCTTTATGGTACAACTTAAAATTGTACATTTACGTTATGGTACAACTTCAGATTGTACTTATACTTTTTGTACAAATTCTTTTATGGTACAACTTGAACTTGTACCTTTATGTAATGGTACAACTTCAAGTTGTAAAGTTTTACCATAACATAAGGGTACAAATTGCTTTATGGTACAACCTAAACTTATACATTTAATGTTATGGTACAACTTTAAGTTGTACGTTAAAGCACTAATACTATATAGCATAGTAGAATTGCTCCTCTTATCTCTCCATGTTTCATCATTAGTTTGTCCATTTAATTGCTTCTGCAGTTATGAAATTAAATTTGGCCACATTGGAGAATAATTATTGCATATCATATCAGCTTGGCCACACGACTGTTAATGGTAACTTGGTTTTTTTGCCGCTGTTCAATGACCAAGGAACACTGAAGATGCTCACGTCCTCCACTTTGTAGAGTCTTCACTGCTATGGATAGCTCTCTAATAGGTAATACTCATCCTGTACACCTATAACTCTTAGTTCTTATACTACTCTGATGTAAAGATTTGTAAAGTTGTTCATTTATATGTATATTAGTTAGCACTTACTTGGAAAGTAGTGATTGGATTTTAGTTACGATTTGGCATCGTAAGCTCTATTTGAGTTATGGAACATAGAGCCTACTTAAATTAGTGTTGATCCTTATTTTTTGTTTGTTCTTTCAATTGTTTGAATCGATCCAAGCTCTGTCAAGCCAATTTACAATAGATAGATGGTTCAGTGCTAAAATTTAAAGTGGTTGATTAGCATCTGCGTTTTAGTTGACGTTCTAATTGCTGATGTTCTGTAACTAGTTGTAGAACATGTTCTGTTTCGTAATGTCATTACTATTTAGGCACATATTCCCCTTGCTTCCGCTACCAATATAAATTGTGACCTTACTTAAGCATTGGTAAGTTTCTTATAGAAGCAAATAAACAACCAGAGTTTTGGTCATCTATAATCATCCTGCCAATTTTTATCTGCCTAGCACTAATTCCCACCAACCGTTGTCATTCATGTTTGTGTATGTTCTTTATAAAATTGCGAGAAGTTTTCAGAACTTCCTTGATTGATTATGGGAGGCAAAGAACTACTAGACCAGTTTTGATCCAAATCCAGTAGAGAGATTGAGTAGAAAGAAGCAAGCATATAGACAATTACCATTTTTATGATTGCCAAAAACCAAAGTTGTGATTCTGTTTTCCTTCATAGTTTCTCTCTTAGGTTTTTTATTTTTTTGTCTTATGCATAGTGTTATTCCTTTTATCCATTTGGCTTCTCTCAATTTCAGTTGTTATATTGTACTTTTATGCTAAATACATTGTAATATTGCTGAAGTTCAGAGTTTTTCTAGAGTTAGATTTTGTGCTATGGTTAATTGATTCTCATGAATTCAGCGAAGCCAAAAACATGCTCTAGATCCATGTCCAGCGGATTTAAGGGGTTCATGTATGGAAGAGACTGTTGTTGATTAGGCTGGACTAAAGAAGAGGAGGGCTTTTCATGCTTTAGACATCACAATTATATCAAGAGTATCTTATGCGTTTGAAAATGATTTGCCTGAGAGCTCATTGCTCAGAAGAAGGAAACGAAAGATGACAGGACATCAAAATTCAAAACTAATATATCAATGTATATTCGTATGTTTTTCTTTGGTCGAAATATATTCGTATGTTGGAAAAAGGTAATAGTATTTAGTTTAGTACCTGATGGTTATTTTCATCATTTAATTCGTTGCTTTTAACTTCTTGGGTAGAGAAGAGATAGCTCAACTGATGATACAATACTTACGGATCAGTATGAATTATGTGTTAGAACTTAGAAGTACTTAGAACTAGATGCCAGACTTTTATGTTAGAGATGCTCTGGGTAAGAGGGCGAATCAATTCTAATCTTCAATGTTTGACTGTTTGTTATAGCTGTCTCTTTCATCTTTCGCTTTTTGTTGGTGAAATTTGGCTCAAATTTCGTATACTGATCCTCATTAGTTTGGTAAATGCACGAAAACAAATGAATAATAACGAGTTTTTATCAAGTTTTGATATCTTGAAGAAAAATATATAAAATAGATAATTTATTGGTGAATTACACGATTGGTCACCCGAATTACATAAAAATTCACATTTGCCACTCGAATTACAAACCTTGCTTATTGGTCACTAACTTTACGAAACATTTCACCGTAGCCACTGGTCGTTAGCCTCTGTCAGACTCCGTTAACGGCGTCAGATTTTTTATGATGTGGCAAACGGAAACTCTGGGTGGACAAAAATGTTGAGTCAGCCCAGATACCCGACCCACCAAGGCAACCGACGCGAAAAAGGACAAAGCCCACTATATTTTAGTTTGATTTAATTTTTTCTTTTTACTTTTGGGAAAAGACCGATTCCCCTTCTTCTTTCCTCTGGTCGCGCGATTCTTCTTCCTCCCTTTCTTCACTCCAGCAGAGCTTGCAAGGATAGCCGGCCGGTCAATCGAGTGCAGGGGAGGTGCGGGTGACCAAAAAAACCCAATCTTCCTTCTTCAGCGCCGATGAGCTCAAGATTTTGACCTAGCGGCGTTCGAATTCGCAATCGGTGTTATCGGATTCCTTGGAGAAAGCTATCGTCTGATCCGGGCGACGGGTCTGACCGGTCGTGGCGGCACTTCCGGTGCCCTAGCCGTTGTCGTTGCCTCATCGTCGTTTCCACAGGAGGCAGTAGTCTGCGGGTTCTAATTTGGGGCAGGGTCGTCCCCTCGGGACGCCCGACATAATCCCGTTCTCTTCCTCCTGGTAGGGCTCCGACATCGACTCCGTTTTCATCTTTCATTTTATCATTTCCCTGTAATTTTAATTTTAGGTTTAACTATTTTTCCTTATTATTGTTCACTTCTCTGTGGAGAATGAACCGAACCAGACTTGCAGGAAAGGCAGATTTTCAGATTCTTGGGTAGCTCCTTCCGTCGGTAGCTGAGAGATTTCAATGGCAGTTCTGTGGAGAGCCGAGAAGGGAAAAGATTTACGAACCCGCTTGTGGATGAGCTCCTCGGCAACAAGATGATCTCTTGGCAATTGATCAATGAACTAAAAAATTCTTACTTCCTTGAAGAGGAGCTCTTCTCTCAAAAGAAAGAAAAAATTAAAGCAAACTAGAAAATAGTGGGCTCTCTCCTTTTTTGGGTCGGGTGCCTTGATGGCTCGGGTTTTTAGGTTGACCCAGCTTTTCTGTCAGCCCAATCAGAGTTTCCGTTTGCCACGTCATAAAAAATCTGATGTCGTTAACGAAGTCTGACGGAGGCTAACGACCAGTGACTACGGTGAAATGTTTTGTAAAGTTAGTGACCAATAAGCAAGGTTTGTAATTCGGGTGGTAAATGTGAAATTTTTATATAATTCGGGTGACCAATCATGTAATTAACCCGATAATTTATCATATTCCCTTCTGCGAGGGTCAATTAACTAGTGACAATTATGAGGGGAGTGCAATTAGTTCTTTTGTGATAGCGAAACTTACGAAATATAAAAAAAAAATTGAAGTGGAATCTACAATTCTACATCATCTCGAACGGCAGCGTGTTGCTGGGTAGATGGGATTGCCTTTGCCGCATCACAAATGCCGCGGATACGATTTGTGGGCGCAGATTGTTATCGGCGAGCGAGAGGCTGACAGCAAAGCGGCGTTGGAAGGGTCGGAAGATTAAAGAAGGAGATGGTGGCGATACAGCTTGGGCTTGCCCCTGCCAGTTACTGCTACCCTTCCATTCTCTTTCTTCCTCGATTCCGCTTCTTAAAACGAAGACGGTTTGCTGGTAAGTTAAATACTCAAACGGAAGAAGCGTTGCTGCATTGCCCGGAAAGAAATGGATTTTTTTTTCTTTCTAAAACTTAACTATTTTGACATCGGAACAATTGCGACTTTTTTTCTTTCTTTCTCTAATTGTAGTTTGCCATGACTTTGTGCTTCATTTGAGACTTGAGTTGTTGTGGGTATTATTGTAAACAGTTGTTGCCATGAGCAATGATCCTATCACTGAGTGGATTCTGTCGGAAGGGAAGGCGACGCAGATTACAAGGATTAGCCCCATTGGAGGTGGCTGCATAAATCGTGCTAATCGTTATGAAACTGATGCTGGTCCTTTCTTTGTTAAGACAAACAGGTGTGGTTATTATCCATTTGTTTAGTGGATTAGAGCTCTAGTGCTTGTTGGGTGTGTCTATAAAGCACCGAATTTCCGCTTAATTAGGAGCATTGGACCGTCCATGTTCGAAGGGGAGGCTCTTGGTCTTGGTGCTATGTACGAAACTGAAACAATCCGTGTTCCGAGGCCATTCAAGGTAAGCAAACTTATCTCTTATTTTTGTTAGTCACTTGCTGCTCTGGAAACATATTGGCTCGGCTGTAGTATCATTTGAGTGCAAATTGTTGTTAGCATTGGTTCTAGGTTGGAGCTCTGCCTACTGGTGGATCATACATAATCATGGAATACATTGAATTTGGTGCAGCTAGATCTAACCAGGTGAGCTAGGAACTAAAGACTTCATTCAATTTGTTGCTGTGATATTTGTTTCCTAAGAAGAAAAACGCAGTTATCCCTAAAATCTCTAGTCAATGGTCAGTCTGAGTTAGGGAGGAAGCTTGCTGAAATGCATAAAGCCGGGAAATCAGCAAAAGGCTTTGGCTTTGACGTGGACAATACAATTGGCAGGTAGGTGTATGTTCATTCTGGAGTCTTATGATTCTCTGTTTATAGCACTGTCATGTTCTATAATCAATGCAAGGAGTCAAGATCTTGGTGTTTCAGAGATGTAATGTTGGAAAATATGCACATTTGTAGTACTCCACAGATAAACACATGGACTTCGGATTGGATCGAGTTCTACGGAGAGCACAGATTGGGATATCAACTGAAGTTGGCATCAGATCAGTATGGTGATTCAACCATATATCAGAAAGGTAGTTACTTGGTACTGCATGGGAATGCGAAAGATGGATTCCATTAATTGATGGTGTGAATTGGTTATATGGGGGGCGATTTTTGGTAATAGGGCAAAGACTGGTGAAGAACATGGCAGCCCTGTTTGAGAACATTGTGATAGAGCCATGCCTGCTTCATGGAGACTTGTGGAGTGGGAACATCAGTTCAGACAAGAGCGGGGAGCCAGTTATACTTGACCCTGCATGCTATTGTAAGTCTACGTTGAACTTGCTTCTAAAGTCTTTTCGTTCAGGTTTCTTTCTACTTCGCTATCAACTGTGAATGTGGGTACATATTGCTGGTGTACGCTGCAGACGGACATAGTGAAGCAGAATTTGGAATGTCATGGTGTGCGGGTTTCGGAGGGGCATTCTACAATGCTTACTTCGAGGTATATGTTCTTGAGCTTGTTTCCGTTATGGGAGTTTATGTTGTGGTTGTGAACAGGAATGGAATTTCATTGTCTTAATGTTTTCGTCTTGGGGTGGGGCATTTGGGAAATGGTAGGTGACGCCGAAGCAAGCAGGGTTTGAGAAAAGGAGGGATTTGTACATGCTCTACCATTACCTGAATCATTATAATCTCTTTGGTTCTGGATACCGCTCCTCTGCCATGTCCATCATAGATGACTACCTCCGCTTGCTAAATGTATAGGCACAAAGAAACAATCCTCCATTGAGTCTAGTTTTCTGAACCAGAGATGTACAGCTGTTTCAGTGTATAATAACAAAACCCATGCCTCCATGATTACTAGCTCTCTGGTCTCATGGTAAATTTTATTAAAGAGAAAAGGTCTGAGAAGTAGGAAGCAATAGAGGAAGAAAACAGAGCATTCACCAGAGCAGGTGATCGACTGTTTCCTCTTCTCAACACCTCCTTGCTAAACTCCCAATAAATGAGCAGGTGATCGACTGTTGCCTCTTCTTTCCCGCATAATTCGTATATATTAGCAAGATGCCAACCTCTCTTCTTAAGGTTTCTTAAGGTTGTCAAGCGTGAGAATTTTCTTGAGTGAAGTGAGCCAAATGAAAGTACATACTTCAGTGGGGACGGTGTGCCTCCACATTGAACCGGCAGGAAAGTCGTTGATTCCTGAAAATTTGTTTTTCGTGATGGCCCTGTACGTACAACGAACAGAAAATGGGTGATCCAGGTTAGGTAGCTGATTTGGGTCCAAAAGTACACATTTTACCTCTCATTTCTTATTCGATATGTTTAGTAGATCACCGTCCCTCGACCTATTTTACGCTAGGTTGTGCTTGTTTTGTTACATTTCAGGTCCTAGCACGTGAGGAAAGTTCCGGGACGAGTTTCGAGTCATTCGGAGGTTAAAATGAGCCAAAAAGTGGAGGTTAAGCCCTGTTCACGGGCTGGAGCTTCAGTTCACGGTCGCTAAGACTGTGAAGTGGAAGTCCAAACCGTGAAGTGACAAATTTCCAGCACGGTTCTACAAATTACTAGCATCAAGTCAGTTCACGGTCTCTGGCCAACACGGCCATGAACTGGGAACTTTCAACCAAATATGAAGACAACAGCGGAGAGAGAGAAAGGGGAGCTGGTTTTTGGAGAGGAATTGGTTTCTTTCTCTAGGTTTTGAGCCCAAAACACCAAAGGGGAGTTCTAGTGAGAGAGAGAGAGAGAGAGCGCTCGAGTAATCTTGGAGCTTAATTGGAGGCTTGGGTTGATCTTGAAGACAAGGATTCAAGCCTAGAAGAAGAAGAAGATATTAGGCCCAATTTGTAATCTCTCTCTTCTCTCTCTAGAAACTCACCCTCTTCTCTTGGTTTAAGAATCCTAGGCATAGATTTGGGTTTAATGTTGATGTATGTGACAAACTCCATGATTGATTGATGATTTTACTTAATTTGGATGTTTTCATGAACATCATGAGTTGGGTTTTCATTTTCATGTATTGAGCTTTTGACCTATGAGGGAGAAAATTCCCTTAGAGCCCCTTTTGGCGTCTTCGGGTCACTCCTATCGTATATTGTCCGGGTAGTGCCCGAGAGAGTTGATTCGACAGGTCTCCTAGCATTATACGAAACCCTAGGTTGAATAGAGCACTACCCATCCATCGATTCGCCATTCCGGGTCATTCCCAAGGGAGTCCATCTCCAAACAGTAGTGTATTTGAGTCGATCGAGCTAGGAGGATACCCAACATTGATCCAAGGAACGGATCTAGGACTATTCAACCCAAGATAGCTCCAACCTTGTAAATAGTTAGGTTAGTGGTTAGTCTAGGTTAGTTAGTTTAATTTTATCAATCAATATCCTAGGTTGGCTAGATGACGAATCCTAAACCTGAATTATGGTAAGCCTAGATCCACGTGGTACGATAAATTCTTATTGCTTGCTTGGCCTATGATACACTAGGTCGGCGGTTATACTTGGACGTCGATCGGGATATTGTAGTTAGAACGAGACAAGTTGTACACTTTTTATCCCCGTTTCTCTTTGAGGTTTGTTGCAATTGAGCTCCAAAAAGGGGTGGTTTTACGCAGGTTTCGTGTGTTTCAGTGTGTTTCAGATTCTAAGAGGTGAAACCAACCTCGGAGTCGAAATTTGGAAGAAAAGGAGCAAAGAGCAGGAAACAGCCTATGTTCAAGGTCTGCCATTGGAGTTCAAGGTCTTACAGGACCGTGAACTGGAGCCAAAATCCGTTAACCGCGAATCTTCCAGGGAGATTCCAGAGGTTACTAACGCCGATTGAGTTCACGGTCGCTAAGATCGTGAACTCTAAGCACAAACCGTGAACCGTGGATGTGAAGCCGTGCGTTTTGGTCTCAACACTAAGTTCACAAATGCGTGTCAATGTTCACGGTCGTGAACTGTGGTCTAAGACCTTGAACTGATCAACGCGTTCTTGAACTATGACCATGAATTGATCAACCCTTTCTTTAACTAAGACCGTGAACTGAGTAACGCGTCTTTGAACTAAGACCCTGAACTGAGTGAATTGAGATCTTAGACCGTGAACAGAGACCGATCTGGGTATAAAAGGAGAAGGGAGCTGAAGGAGAGAGGAGAGCTTTTTTGTAGGTTTTAGTTTTCAGAATAAAGAGGGTTTCTAGTGAGAGATTAAGGTTTCCTCTTCCCATTAGAGACAGAGAAACTGCCATTCAAAGGAGGAGGAAGGAGATTTGGGCTTGCCCTAAGCTAGAGGAGTGAAGATTCTTACTCTCAAAGGAGAATCAAGCAAGGAGGAAGGAAGATTGTCATCTCTTCATGGTTCTTTCTCTCCTTTTTCTTGTTTTCCTTTATCTAGCAATAGAATAACCCACCTACTCACTTGGGTATTGTGAATTCTAGTCTATATATGTGTTAGGATGTAAGAACATGATTCTATTTGTGTTAATTGTGCGTCTTATATAATATTTGAGGTATTAATCATGATTTGTGCGTGTTGCTTGCATTATCTCATTGTTGGGTCAAATAGACCTAGGAGGTGGAAATCCCCCTTTGGGCCATAGGGAGCTTGACCTCCTACCCACTCGGGTAACCCTTTCTATGTTAATCTAGGGCCAAAACCTCAAGTATCAGAGTAGCACCTTGATTCCCAAGTGAATGGTCTCTCCACCGTCCGGATTAAGTTCCGATGGATTGGTTTGCAATCCTTAGTCAACCGGTTTAGAGGGGCTAGATCGTCTAGCCTAGAGTTACAATCCTCAACCAAAAGGTTAAGAGAGTTAGACCGCTGATAGAACCCGGGAACCTGAGCTCTATCTAGGGATTAGGGAATAGGGATCAAAGAGAGATTGACCCTTAGAATTAGATTTGCAGAAGTAAAGGGGAAGAATGGAGTTTGAGAATATAGGGAGGAAGAAGCAGAGGGCTGCTCGGTAGCCTAGGTAAAGAGAGGGGAGAGGTTCGGCCGAGAGTAGAGGGAGAAGGAGAGAGGTGAGATTAGGGTTTCTTTAAGTTTAATCTTGCTTACCCATTTCTACGTAACACAATAGTTTAAATACTAAATCACAATTTCCTATAACTACCCCAGCTTATTAATCCCTAAATTATCCAAAAATAACCAATCAAAACCCACACAAATAAATCTAACAATTCAATCCGAAACACAAAACCAAATAACACGTTTCTATCATTCTCGTTCCCTTCAAAATAACCTTGTCCCCAAGGTTGTCAGTCCTCCAGCTTGTCGTCCTTCCCACTCGCCTCATCCTCATCCTCAGCCTCGTCCTCCTACCTTCCGACCAGCATCATCAAGTCTGGGCGTGGGCACTTGTGTCCCATCGTGAACAGCTCATCACAGTTAAAACACTTGCCCTCCCGCCTCTTTTGCTCGATTTCTGCAGGAGATAGTCGCACAAATCCCTTAGGCGGTGGCCTCACCCCGCCTCTGACTACCGCCGTCGGCGTCGAGCCAACAGCGGTACCCCCAGCACCAGTGCCCGCCGCGGTCACAGTTCCTCCTCCTCCTCCCCCAGTTCCGCTACTACTTCCTGCCCCGCCCGGCGGCTGGTAGCGGCCTATGGTGCTCTTCCAACTCGCGAGCTCCTCCACTTTATAACCTGCAAGACGAAAGGCAGACTTCAAGGAGTCCGGTTCGAAGACCCGGACGGCAGTAGCGATCTCGGGTTTCAATCCCGCCATACACAGTCCCACCAACATGTCCTCGAGCACCCCTCGACATTGGTTGCCCAGCATGAAGAACTCTGCCCGATAATCCGCGACAGTCCCTGCCTGCTTCTGCTTGGCCAACTGCTCTGGCGCCCAACCCTCTGACTTACCGAACTGGTAAGGGAGCTCCTCTTGGAACATTGGCCATGTGATCAAGGTCTCCGCCGCCCTGTATGACCTCTCCATCCACTCCCACCACTATAGTGCTTCACCTTCTAAGTAGAAGGACGCCAGATGTGCCTTTAGTTCCTCTGGTATTGGGTGATTTTTGAACAACCGCTCAGCTGCATACAACCAGAGTCCCGCATCCTCCTGCCCATTGAATTTTGGAAATTCAATGGTCGGGGGTTTGGCCTGAAATACTAACATGTCAGTTCCATCATAAGAATGGTGATAAGATCAATACCTGTCGAAACTCGGCTCGCCTCCCTGATTGCTCCGCGAAAACCAGGGTTCCCGCGCAGGCTGCCATGGCCCATAACCGCTCGAGAAGCATCATACGGGATGGTTGGGTGCGCTAGTGGCCCCGTATTGTCCCTTCCACCTAGGAAGACCCATGCTACCCGCCCCCACCTGGTGTTGTTCGGGTCGGTTTGGTCCACTTCGGGTCCGAACAGCCTCGACCCGACTCGGTCCAACTAGCATCAACTCATCCCTGTCCGGCCCACCGAGCATTGGCCCGACCCTGACCGTTCCAACACCGCATCGACCCGACTCTGTCGGGTCCAACCAGCTTCGACTCGGCCCGGGCCGGTCCAACCCGGCTCGGTCTGCCCCTCCTAACCCATGGTCCGGCCCGACTTGTTCCTCCTGGCTCGGCCAAAATTGTGCGGCCCAGTCGGGACCTTGGTTCGAGCCCAGTAATCTCGTTTGAGGCCTTACTCGACCCATGGCGCCTGCCGGCCCACCAAGCAGAGCTCCTCATCGGCCTGGTCGTGGTCCATGCTTAGCAAACCTAGCCCGTTGGGCTCCCGAGGTTGACCCACCGGATCACAACGGCCTGTCAGTTTCAGTGGCTCATACCCGATCTAATGAGGCCCCACATCGTAGCTAGACAGCTTAGCCTTGCCCTTGCGGGTCGCCAATTCTTGGGTCATAGGCGTAGGCAGAAGCCTAGACCCGACGCCCTACCCAAACGTAACGTGGCCCGCACGCTCCGGATCGACTGCCGCCCCACCATCACTCACGGCCTTCGACGCAGTCTCCGCATCCACCTCGGCCAGCCTCACGAGCACCGCCGCCGCAGCACTCGAGCCGTCGCCGCCCGCGTCCTCAGGTTCGCCGTGCAGAGACACCAAGACCTCCTGGATCTCATCAAACCGGCGCCACACCCTCTGGGACTCCTCTATCTGTTCCTGGCATTCCTCCGCTAGTGAGGCCACGAGTTTGCACAGGGTGACCCGGACCTCCTCCTCCTCCATCACATCTTCCAGCGCGCCGTCCACCCGCGAACTGGTCGGCAGAATCGGCGGCCAGGGCTGCACGGCCTTGGGAGGCGGATTGACCCCCTCTATCGTCTCCTTGCTGCCGCCAGTCTGCACCATGGCCGCTTCTGCGGCTTGTTTGGCCAAGGCAGCCTTCTCAGCAGCGGACATTGGCTTGGTGAGCACCATAGTGTTGTTTCGCGGTGTGCAGAATCGTGGAGGCTCTGAAACCAAATGATAAAACCTGGGAACCCGAGCTCTATCTAGGGATTAGGGATCAATGATGGATTGAACTTTAGAGTTAGATTTCCAGAAATAAAGAGGAAGAATGGAGTTTGAGAATATAGGGAGGAAGAAGCAAAGGGCTGCTCGGCAGGCTAGGGAAAGAGAGGGGAGAGGTTCGACCGAGAGTAAAGGGAGAAGGAGAGAAGTGAGATTAGGGTTTTTTTTAACTTTAATCTTGCTTACTCATAAATGTTTTGAAACGATTACTCGCTAAGAAGTCTAGCTTGCTATTGGACCAAAAGGGGATTTCCACCCACTAGGTCAATTTTATCCAATATTGAGTTAAAGCTAGCACACTCAATATTTCATGAATAATACCTCAAATATCATATAAAACACTCAATCAACACAATAGCTTCATGTTCTTCTATCCTAACACACAAAGAGACTAGGATTCACAATACCCAAGTGAGTAGGTAGGCAATTCCATAGCTAAGCAAGAGAAAACAACAAAAGGGGAAGTAAGAACCATGAAATGATGCCAATATTTCCTCCTTGTTTCTTGAGACACTCTTGAGAGGAAGAAAT